AGCAGGTGACTTGCATAAAGCAAATGAAAAGAGACGCTTCTTACCACTCAGAGCTTAGGAGCATTTCACCACAGACTATGTTTAGTGATGAAATGTACATGATGTCAAAAAATGACTGGACAAATTCATGGAATAAATTGTCTCACAGGCTATTAAATTCAGGTATTATTTCTGCTTTAAAACAAACAAACAACTTGAAACCTAGATTTCTGGCAGCTAGGAATCAATTTTACATACTTGTTTTGTTCCTATATTCTTATCTAAACATCTGGTCTTGTTAAGGTCAGTTTATGCTACTAGACGGGTTTTGGCCTAGTCTGATAATGCTTCTTAAGATCAAAAGATCATGAGAACATTAAATCACATTTTACTGAAATTAAAAGCCCAAAGGGCCTTAAAGGAAATTACTTTCACTTGTCAGAACAAAGGTACATGTCCTGCAGAAATTATAGAACAAGGAGGAAAAAAACCCCAAACCAACAAGCAAAACAAAACCTCTCAAAAATTCAACCCAACCAAACAAACTAACCAAACCAGCTTAGTCAAGAAGAAAAAATGTTTGACAAGAGTAGAGGGGAGATTACCTCTGTCAAAAACAAGGGCCTGGACTCTTCTGGATGTTAAAAGAAGTAGCCAAACCTTTATTCGACGACATAAATACCAACAGGAGTAGGAAGACAGGCCAGCCTGAATCCCTGCAACTCACAACCCGACGAGGAAGGAGAGCCCCCAACACAGCTGCGCACAAGGTTATATACCGCTCCATCCCCAGGGGAGGGTACAACTCAGGGTCCAATGAGGGATCAGGGGAGGAGGAGTGAGGGAAGGCGGTTGCACTACTGGGAACCAATAGGGACATGTCATGGGTGGGACGGCAACTAGGGAACCAATCGCGAACCGAACTAGGGGTGAGGAGCATGGAAGGTTCTGGAAGGAAGGGTCGGGTTTACAGTGATGGATAGGGGATTAGGGCAGGCCGGGGTGACGGGCAGGGAAGGTTCGAGAATAAGGGGAGGGGTTTACATAATTGACAACTGGGGTCAAAACCAACACAGTTAATAGGGGAGAACAAGAACATACCAACAGACTAACAATTACAATCATAACACTGTAAATACTTATAACAACCTCCAAGGATGATAAACCCTTTTTCAGTGTTAGGCATGGCTGTAAACCCAGATTTCAGTTTTTCAGGTTGCTGCCAATCCTCTTCAATGCATTGTGATCACACAGACATTGTAATCCCAGCCCCCACAGAAGGCTTAAAGGAAGTGTTACCTTCCCTGAAACTACATGGTAAGAGTAGAGGAAAATAAACACCCAAAAAAAGTGGAGATAAAATGGTGGTCACTGTTATACTGGGAAAAGAAGACCACAGCTGTCACTGTTATTGTCGCTGTCATGGATACCACCATCCTTTTGAAAGGTCATTGCTGGAGCATTTATTTGTTCCATGACACAAGCTCAGAATTCAGTTCAATCTTTGACCCAAGAAACGATATTTGCAGAAAACATAAATTATTCAAGAAATGGTTCTACACATTAAGAAAAAGTCTAGTTCTGCAGCTCCAGAAAACTCAGAGCACCTCAGCCAGTGTGCCAATGTGGCTGCTTGAAAAATGCCTGAAATAGTGCCCAGGGTAATTTTCGATTTTTAATAAAGGCCTGGGCTACTCTGATAAAATGTGAATGTTCTGTATATGCATACAGGAATTGTGTGTATAATATATAACAAAAAATTAGAATTCATATTAATTTAAAATTTATTATTAATTGTAATAGGTCCAAACAATAAAGAAAGTATAAACTGTAGCTAGGTAACTGTATTTCTCATCTTGCTTCTGTGCAACCGTGGTTTTAGGTGCATGGTACATCAGATGATTCACAGCTAGCAGGGAAACCCTAGAAGACAGGCCCTGAGATCCTGAGTCAAGAGTGGTCGTTTGGTAGTTGGGTATGGGCAGAGAGTGGCAGGACAGAGGTTGTAAGGTGGTCGAGGAAGTTCCACGCGTTTCGCGGAGGGGCTGTTCTTAGGTCCCCTCCAAACTGCTTTTTTTTAGGGTCTCGGGGTCCCGTTCAGTCGCTGAGTGGGGGATTCTTGTCCGACCCTGCCTTTCTCGGGGGCTGCTTTGGACAGGGAGGCCACGCCTGACCCCCTGCCCCCGCACACGGCGTCCCACAGCCGGCGCTCCTTGCCGGTAGATGGCATCCCCTGTCCGCGCAGAGCAGCGCCCGGAGCGGAGCAGCGCCCGGAGCGGAGCGGCGCGGAGCGGGACCGGCCGCGAGGTGGGGGACAGGGCAAAGCCCGCGGCCCCGCCGCTGGCCAGCTTTTACCAAGGGAAATGCCACTCACGGCTGAGCCGCTGCTCGCCTTCGTCCTTTTCTTTCCTGCCTTTTTGAAACGGCACCTGCAGGGTTTGGGACGGGAACGATCTGAAGACACTTCGCAATCTCCAGGGATTGAAGTAACATCAGGTCTTAATTGCCCGCACTGGAGGCTGACTCAACTGACCCCCAAAAAGGAATCCCCTCAGCAGCCCACACACACAACATACACACCCCGCAGCGACAGACGAGAGCAGTGCTGCCCAAACCTTCCAGAGAGGTCCGCGCCACCACGCCCCGAGGCCACCCCGAACGGCCACGTCCAGAAAGATCCGCACCCCAGCAGAGGCTCCCGGGAACTCGGTGCTGTCGAGGAGCCGCCGGTGTCACACGATCAGTGAAACATCCGTGTGTTCTCTTAGCAGAGGATCGAGGGCAGACCCCGGCTCTTTTGGTTTGTCGCTACAGTGGTTCTTCCCCATGCGTTTTTAAACTTCACCGTTCTTCATACTTAAGAGCATTATTTTTTTGGATTGTTTTAAGATGGTTTTAAACGTTCAGGCTAGGAGAAGAAAAATAATAAAAGGGGAGGGGGAAGGAAGCAGAAAGCTAAAATACTAACTCTTTGGAAATATGAAAAACGTCTTGAAGACGAAAAATCCTGTCTGCCTTTCTTTTAGTAGCTTGCCCTGGGACCTCAAAACTATTTCGAAGAGTGATTTTATGAACTGTAGGAACTGTAAATCTCGAGGGATATATATTTTTCTACAGAAAAAAAAAATAGTTTGGGTCTAGATGTCCCTTTTTCTCCTTCTCTTCCCACCATCCCCCCCCCCCCCCCCGTTTTGTAACTTTTGGTGGTATTGTCTTGCAGGCGCCTTAGTAGTGAACAAAATGTAAATAGGATTATTTGGAAATAGTAGAAAGGATTATGTTGTAAATCCATGGAACTGGATTTGAAACAGGGTGGCTTGTAGCTTTGGGTTAGGACAATATATCGAAAACGTATTTCAAGAAATTGGGTGTGTACGTTGTTTGCAAAGCGAGATTTGATCAATAAGGCTTTATCCATCAGTCTGCCCTTCTCACAACGATTTTTCCCTAAGAAAGAAATGTTCCCCTACTCCTATACCAGTCGGATCCTGCTTGCGGTTTATCCTGCCAGAACTGGGAACGATGGGATTTTTCAAAGCCTTTCTTTTTAAGACCATGGTAATTGCATTTCTGTCCAAATTTGTGGGGGTTTTATTTTGTTTGGGTTCTTTGGTGTTGTTTTTGTTTCTTTTTTTTCCCCTGCCAGCCCTTACATAAAGGGGGCCCGGTCTTCTGTCCTCGCATGGATCACCTGAAAAGGGGAACAGTGCCACTAAATTAGCAAGCAATCCTCTGCTGCTTTCTCAAGGGTGTTGCTCCTACTTAAAGCGAAAGTCCTGTTCTAAAGGACAGTGAATTTATTTCCTTTGCATACAAAGGAGATAACGCTAATTCTCTGTTAGTGTTTCTCATAATGGAGGTAGCTGCTTCTCTCTCTTTAATAACCATAGCCTTACAATTAAACTCAGAATAGTGGTGTGTTTAGGAGGCTGCTCTTTTAAAGCTTGTGAGGTCGATATAGAGAGATATTTTATTTCATTCTAAAGTAAATTAAACTCTCTAGGGTGGCGGGGGAGAAGTAGGGAAGGATATCTCTAAACCATTCCGCGGACGGAAGTATGAAGTTTATTAACTCACCATCTCCCTGTCCGGTGTATTTTTTTTTCCCCTTCCTTCCCACGGGAAGCAGGACCCCATCTCTGAGGGCAGCCCCGGAAAATACGAAGCTTCTACACTCTCCGGACAGTTTCTGTGAAGGTGCTCCTATATTTTCTGACAGACTTGCACTTTTTTTTTTTCTTCCCCCCCGCCCCCCGGCGGAGTCAAGTGTTATCTTTATTTTCCCCCTTTTCCGCTAAATATGGCACCCGTCTCCCCGCGACCCCCCCCTCAGAGCCCCTTCTGGATGAGGTGAGGCCGGGGGGGCCGGGACGGTGTTGAGGCGCCCTTCTTGGGCAGGGGGGAGACACGGCGCCGCTCGCTTCGCCAGGGTCTGACGCTGGGAGCCATGTGATGGCCCCCTCGCTATAAGGCGGGGAGGAAGGCCGCCCTCCCTGGGACTAAGCCCCAGCCTTTTCACCGTGTTTCCTAAGGCCCAGCAAGCCATCCCCTACGCCCTCCCTCCTCGCCAGCCTCCTCCCCTCTCCTCCTCCCAGGACTAGGCGCGCTCCCTCCTGCCCCGCATCCATTAATGTCTGACGCCTGAGGTGAGGAGAAAGAAGGGGTAACCGACTTCCAGGAGCGACGGCACAACCTTCTTGCGCCCACAATAACCGATCCCAACCGAAAAAAAAGCGAAAAATATCCCCAAAAGGGAGGAAGGGAGGGAAAAAAGATAAAGAAAGACATCCAAACGGCAGCAAAAATACCCTGAAACAAAACCCTGACCGGCCGCCGCCTCCGAGCGGGCGGCGGGAGCGCTCCAGAGGCGCGGCA